TTCCCTTTCTCTCTCTTTTTGTTTCTCTCTTCTTTCTCTTTCCCTTTTTCTTTTTCACTTTCCCTCTCTTTCTCTTTCCTTTTCTGCCTCTGCAAACAGGCCTCACAGCCATGGCTGAAGCAATGAAGCTGCAGAAGATTAAGCTTATGGCCATGAACAGCCTCCATGGGAGCGGAAGTCAGAACGGGACCGAGTCGGAGAACGAAGAACTGAATTCGAATGCAGGTAAAGCAAGTTTCAACTGCGAATTGTTTGCACATCTGTGGAGATTCTCCGTCGTCCAGGTCATGGTTATCCCCAAAGTGCTATTTCCAGAAGGTGAAAGGGTTGCATTAGATTCACAAAGAGGTTTTATTTTCACTTTGTTGCTGTTTTGAATAAGATGCACCCTTTGGTCTTTTTATTGGGAAACGAGAGAGAACATCACTCCTAAAGCAGCTTCGGGAATATAGAGTGGAAGATGACTTTCCATTATTGTCTTAATGCAACATGAATTATGCTATTTCCCCCCCCCCCCTTTAAGAAACCATCTGGAATTGGCAGGAAAAGCCCTGCGTGCACCGGAGCCCCACTGGGGTCCCCCCCCCCGTCTTCTTTTTTGGCAATAGTTTTGTTTTCCCCCTTTTTTCTTTCTTTTTTTTAAATGTTAATCGTGCCTTTTGATTCTGGAAAAGGGCAACTGAAGGCTCTGTCAGAAGGGGAAATTGCGTAGGTAACTGGCATTCACCTTATGCCAAATAATCTTCATTTGCGTGCCTGGAGGACAATTCAGAGGCGTGAGAGCACTAATCATCCCCAGCCACTCCTGAAGACTAGAATGGGTAAATAGCAGTAGCACTTAGACTTATATACTGCTTCACGGTGCTTTTACAGCCCTCTCTAAGCGGTTTTAGAGAGTTAGCATTTTGTCCCCGATAACCTGGGTCCTCATTTGACCCACATCGGAAAGATTGAAGGCTGAGTCAACTTTGAGCCTGGTGAGGTTTGAACCGCCAAATCGTAGGCAGCCGGCAGTCAGCAGAAGTAGCTTGCAGTGCTGCAGTTTAACTAGGGGTGGGATTCAAATTTTTTTTACTACCGGTTCTGTGGGTGTGGCTTGGTGGGTATGACATGGCTTGGTGGGCATGACAGGGGAAGGTTACTGCAAAATCTCCATTCCCTCCCCACCCCACTAACCTGCTTTCCAGCTCCGTTCTCCTGTGCAGGGCAACAAAAGAAGACTAAGATTAGACTTAATCATAGTACATAAAATCATTTGTTACCAGTTAATGAATATTTCAGCTTTAGCCATAACAACACAAGAGCACACAACAGATATAAACTAAAGGTAAACCACTCCAAACTCGATTGCAGGAAATATGATTTCAGCAACGGAGTGGTCAATATCTGGAACTCACGACCTGACTCTGTTGTCACCTGCTCAAACCCCCAATCTTTTACCCTCAAACTAACCTCCATTGACCTCACCCCATTCCTAAGAGGTCTGTAAGGGGCGTGCATAAGCGCACAATCGTGCCTACCATCCCTGTCCTATTGTCCCCAATTATTAGTTTCTATTTCTTATATTTAAACTTATGTTTATTCTTATTTCTATAATATTGTAAGCATTTCACAAAATAAATAAATAAAATAAAAATAAATAAAGACCCAGCCGATCAGCCGGGACTCAATGGGAGGCAGAGAATAGATGGGGTTGGTGGGGCCGATCAGAGGTAACATTTGCCGGTTCTCCGAACTACTCAAAATTTCTGCTACTGGTTCTCCAGAACTGGTCAGAACCTGCTGAATACCACCTCTGATTTTAGCCATTGTGCCACCACGGCTCTTCAAATACTTCAGAAATATTCTCTAATAGAGCCAGTTTGATGTAGGGGTTAAGGCTAGAAACCAGGAGAGTGTGAGTTTTAGTCTTACCTGAGGAGCAAGGCCAGCTGTGTGACTTTGGGCCAGCCCCTTTCTCTCAGCCCTAGGAAGCAGCCAATGGCAAGTTACTTCTGATACAGGTAGATAAGTCACACAGGACCTTTCGTCGCATGTGGCAACTATTGCAGCATTCCCATGGTCACGTGATCAAAATACAGGTGCTTGGCAAATGGCTCACCCTTATGACCGTTGCTGTGTTGCCAAGGTCACGTGATCACCTTTCGCGACCTTTTGACAAGCAAAACTCAGCGGGGAAGCCAGGTTCACTTTAAGAACCGCATTGCTAACTTTATCAACCGCAGTGATCCACTGCGGCAAGGGAGGTTGTAAAATGGGGTTGTAAAACTCACTCCACAGCTGCCTTGCTCAACAAAATAAATGCTGGGCTCAATGGTAGTCGTAAGTCAAGGACCGCCTGTATCTGTATAGTAAACCTGAGATGTTGCACAACATTATCAACCAAGATTTGGTGAGGTGGGGTGATAACACATAAGGTATTTGACCCACTGGTTTACCACTGGGCTAAGAATGAATAAAATGGTGAGGCAAACCCCAAAATAAAAAGAAGGTTGTGTTTTAAAAGTCACTTCTTCTGAAATCAGAAGACGCAGCGTGCACGCACACACACGCACACTCACAAACACACACAAAAGCAGTAAGCCACGTTCACCGAGGCAAACATTTTATTTTAAGGAGACAGACCTACAGTTTCTTTGATTCGAGGTTGCATTTAATAGCTTCTCTAATGGTTGCAACATGACCACGCATCTTGATTTCAGCATGAATAACAACCTGTTCGTGTTTCATTTAGTTCCAAATGAGAAATTCTGTCTTTTTATTGTTTTAGGAAATTAGTCTGTGTACTATTGCTCCTGAAACTTTATAATTAATCACGAAAGGTTACGGCTTTTGAGAGTTTTTTTGGGGGGTGGGGAGAGGCGCTTGAATGAATATAACTGTAGCTGTCAAATCAGAAATATGGGCCTTCCCGTTTGTTTTGAACTGTGCATCTTCCATTCTTTTGAAGATATGCTGCTACACACAAACACACACACACACACACAATGTACACACGTACACACTTGAGTGCAGAATTACAAAGAGTTTGAAGTTGCAGGTTGACTTTTGAAAAACGGGAGAGAATGCTTACTCCTCTTCCTGAGTTTGCCAAGGTGCCTTTCTCACTGGAGAGATAGAAAATATATTACAGGTATCTCCTCGACCGTTCTCGACCAGGGACTGTTTGAAGTTATAACGGCACTGAAAAAAAATGGCAACTGGCCATTTTTAGAATAGAGGAGAATAATGAAATGAAGAAAGAAGAGAGTAGAATAATGAAATGAAAGAATAGAATAATGAAATGAGGAAAAAATAGAATAGAATAATGAAATGAAGAAAGAGTAGAAGAGAAGAGAATAATGAAATGAGGAAAGAATCGAATAGAATAATGAAATGAAGAGAATAATGAAATGAAGAAAGTAGAAGAGAAGAGAATAATGAAATGAGGAAAGCATAGAATAGAATAATGAAATGAAGAAAGAATAATGAAATGAAGAAAGAGGAGAAGAGAATAATGAAATGAAAAAAGAATAGAATAGAATAATGAAATGAGGAAAGAATGGAATAGAACATTCTCCTCCTCCTCCTGATCTATCTTTCTTCTCCTTCTCCTTCTCCTTCTCCTTCTCCTTCTTCTTCTTCTTCTCCTTCTCCTTCTTTTTCTTCCTCTTCCTCCCTTCTCCTTTTCTTTGATCCTGCAAATCCAGTACCTCTAAAAGATATTCCACCCTTTCTTTGAATCACAGACCAAGTCATGCTTGTTAAACATTACAGCAAAATTCCTTTAGGTCATTCTTGACTTCCAAAACAAACTGAGATTAAGCATAACACTCATGCCCTCTCTTGCTTTGCTTCTATCTGTTGTAAATGCAAACATCCTTCACAAGGATTGTTGTTTCTTTCCCTAACCCCCACCCCCAAATACATCACTCAAAGGAATATTTAAAGGAGCATCAGGAGGGGAGGAACTCATTGGTTTAATGGAATGCTGTCAAGGAAAATCAGCATCACAAATGACACAAGGGCAAAATTGATACTTCTGCAATGACACACTAAAAGAAAACCCGATGCATTATTTAGAAAATTCTCGAAAATCTGTCAGCGGATTGCCGAATTAGCAGACGTGGGGTTGGAGCAGGAGGAGGTTCAGAGTGGAAGAGATGTGTGGGCTGCTCCTCGCTGTAACTTTTCATGTTCACCGTCCACGCAGACCTAGTGACTACCTGGTCAGCAATTATCTTCCAAGCTCTTTTAGTGTCTTCACTCAAAAGAGGTCGGGGGGTGGGTGGGTTCCCTTCTAAAACAGGGGTGTCAAACTTGATTTCCTTGAGGGCCACATGAGGGTTGTGTTTGACCTCAGGGGTGTGTGGTCAGCATGGCGTCACTCATGTCGGGGGGGGGGGCACCTGTGGTGGCCTGAGCTCTCTGTCAGAGAAAATGGGCTCCTGACCTCCGTTTTCGGCTGCGACGGCCTCCTGTAACCCTTCGCCAATGCAAATGGAGCACGGGGAGGCACACGTGGCCCTCGTGAGCTCCACTTTCGGCTGTGACGGCCTCCTACAATCCCTTTCTCAGCGGAAACGAAGCTTGGGGAGGCATGTGTAGCCCTCACGAGCTCTGTTTTTGCTGGCAGAGGCACTGTGGGCTGATCCTTTGTGGTTTCCGAGGCAGCCCCATGGGTCAGATCTAAGCACCCCATGGGCTAGATCTGGCCCCTGGGCCTTGAGTTTGACACCCCTGTTCTAAAAAGTTGGTTGCGCATACTACGATTGCCTTGCGAGTTAATGAGCAGATCAAGAAGAAGTGACACGCATTGTGCGATAGATATTCCCCAGTGGTGGGATTCAAAAAAATTTACTACCGGTTCTGTGGGCGTGGTTTGGTGGGCATGGCAGGGGAAAGTTACTACAAAATCCCCATTCCCTCCCGACTCCTGGGGGAAGGTTACTGCAAAATCCCCATTCCCTCTCCACCCCACTAACCTGCTTTACAGCTCCGTTCTCCTGTGCAGGGCAACCAAAGAAGACCCAGCTAATCAGCTGGGACTCGATGGGAGGCAGAGAAGAGATGGGGTTGGCGGGGCCAGTTAGAGGTGGTATTTGCCGGTTCTCCAAATTACTCAAAATTTCCACTACTGGTTCTCCAGAACTGGTCAGAACCTGCTGAATACCACCTCTGGTATTCCCATGACTCACTTCATATAAGTCTATAAGTATATAAGCCTAAGTGCTATTGCCTTTCCT